CTGTCAGCCGTGCTCAGGGCCTGCAGCTGGAGGAACCGGCCCTGCTCTGGGAACTGGGTGTGGGCGTCTGCCTGTAGACCCCCCCGGGGTGGAGAGCCCCTGGTCAGTGCTGGGCTGGACCGGGCATGTCCCCAGGCACCAGCCAGAGAGGACCCAGGAATGGGGGGGGGGGAGGCGGGCAGTGGCCTTGGCCGTTGTGGGCCGGCCTGTAGCCCTGGCCTGATGCCCAGTGGAGGACCCTCCTGGGAAACAGGCTCTGCCCACTGGGGGGGTGTGGGGGGGCTTATGCTCATACAGGAGTGGGACCCTCCACCAGAAGGACTAGACTCCTTGGGTGCCCAGCAGCGAGCCCCCCGTTTCAGGGGTGAGCCCAGAGAAGCTGAGTAACTGGCCCGGGGCACACAGCACTCAGTGTCGCTATAAGCTTCAATGGGAAGAACACGGGAGGCGTCAGAAGCCCCGCGTGCACACCAGAGCCTTGCCTCAGGGTCCCCATCCACTATGTGGGGACAGTAGCAGCGGGGAGAATAGCAGCAGGGCAGGTGTGCCAAGTGCTGGTGCAGGCAGGTCAGGGTCTGGGCCTGAGCGGGACAGAAGGAGGGGTCCCTGGGCCCCCAGTCTGGCACCCACCTGCAGCAGGATGCCATCTCGGTGCCACTCAATCTCGGGGGCGGGATCCGCCTCCACGGAGCACTCCAGCACCAGCTGCCCTGGGGCCAGGCCAACGACAGAGCGGGGGCCTCGGGGCCCAATAACGTTTGGAGGGGCTGGGGGCAAAGAGAGAACATGAGGAATGGACCCACCCCTGCAGGGCCCATCCTGCCTCCCTCTCCTGCCCACCCCTGACACCCCTACCTTGAACCCTGACCCGGAAGCTCTTCTCGATTTCACCGGCAGGGTTGCGGGCCAGGCAAGTGTACAGCCCATCATCGCCCACCTGGGGACGGAGCAGGGTAAGCAGCCACCCCTGGCCTCAGGCTGCCTACCTCTCGGTCTCCTTCCTTTACAACTAAGGACCCCGCTGAGCTTGCCACCCCACTTTCCAACCCACCTATTCCCCTCCCTGGGATGCTTCTTCTGTCTCCATCTCAGCCTTGCTTTAGGGCTAGGGCAAAGCCTGCCTCCTCCAAAAAGTCCCCCCTGACTGCACCAGCCCTCCTCTGGTTATATGGTTTCTGCATCAGCCTTGGCTCTGACCGGGCTGGGAGCTCTTGAGGGCATGGCCCAGGTGGGTCATCTCCACATCCTTACCCCACACAGAGGAGGAGCTCAGCCAAACCTTGCCAGATGCTGCTGGGACCCTCTCTCCCCCTCCCCCAACAGCAGACAAGACAGCAGCACCTGCACAGCCTCCACCCGGAGCCGCTGCCCAGTCCCTCTGCTGTCCTCCTGGCTGTTCAGGGCCTGCCCGTCCTTATGCCAGGTGATGTTGGGCAAGGGGGTGCCCCGGGCATCACAGCGAAGCTCCAAGGGGGCACCAGGGGTCAACGACAGCTCTGCAGGCTGGCCCGAGTCCTCGATGTGGGGGGGATCTATGAAACGCCACGCCTGCATCAGCGGTGGGGCCCTTGTTGGAGAAGTGGGAGCCGGGGTACATCTCCCGCCCCTACCGCCCAGGTGCTGGCAGTGGACAGAGCAGGCAGAGCCATAAATAGGCAGGTGGGGGTGTGTGGGAGGCCCTAAGGACGGGGAAACCATGGCCCATCTGCCTGGGACAGTTACTCCTGCTTTAACACTAACAGAGACACAGTGTGGCGGCGCAGGCACAATGGGCACACGTGTTTCTAATACACGGCGACACTTGAGAACCCCTGTGCTTGAGGCGTAGGACTCCACTCCCACCCAGATTTCAGCGGCTCTTGCCCACTTTACATGGTTTGGGGACAGGACTGAGGAGGCAGCCCCAGGAGAATGCAGCATCCCCGCTGCCTGCTCCCCAAGCCCTGCTCCAGGCCCCTGGGGCACTCGGCGGCTCATTCTCCTCCTCCTCCAGCACCCTCCGAGGCCCGCCCGCCCCTCCCTGGCCCAGGGATGCTGGCGCTGGGGGCAGATGACCCACCCATCACCGTCAGCTGGAAATGCCTCCGTGCTTCCCCCGCCTCGCTCACGGCCACGCAGGAGTAGGTCCCCGAGTCCCCAACTCCCGCCGTCTCCAGCTGCAGGCCCGGCCCCAGTTCAAGACTCTGGAAGAACAGGGGCTCCCCGTCCTTCATCCATGACACTAGGGGCAGGGGGCTGCCCTGGGCTTCACAGGGGAGGACCACCGGGGAGCCACGGACCACTGCCACATTGTTCTGGAACTCCGCCGGCTCCAGGGCAGGGGGCACTGTGCAGGGCAGAGGGTGGGCACACGTCATTTCACCCCGTGCCAGGTGGCCCTCCCCTGGACCATCGCTCTGGATAATCCCTTCTTTGTTCCAGTCCTCGCCTAGCCTCACCTTCTCCAGGCAGCCTTCCCGGAATGCCTGAGGCCGGGTGCAGTGCCTGCTCTGTGCTCCCCCAGCTCCCTGACCTTCCCCTCACAGCACCAGTCCCCTGGGATTGTGGCCACCTCTTTACAAAGCGGTGTCCTGCCCTGCCCGCCTAGTGGCAGTGGCCACCTATGCTCACTGCTCAACCCCAGTGCCTGGCAAGTTCCTGGCACCCCACGGTGTCCAGCGACTACTCGGGAGGTGAAAAGATCAGACCGAGTCGCCGTGTTTGCTCACACAGGCCTTCATTCTTACACCCCAAGGCTGAGGACAGACCAGGGCACGCCGCGGCTCCATACCGTGCACCTGCAAGGTGAAGTTCCTGTCGGCCACGCCAGCGGGGCTCGCAGCCACACAGGTGAAGACGCCGGCATCTGCCAACTGCACCTGGGAAATCCTGAGCCCCTCGAGAAAAGGGGGAGAGAGGACAGAGAAGGGGGTCTCAGTGCAAAGGTCCCTCCCCTCCCCCATTCTCATTCTGCCTCCCAAAGGCTTGCCAGTCAAAAGGGCGGCTCTGAGACACAAACTTGAGCAGGTGCAGCCTCTGTTTCAACGCCTTTCCGGCTCCCTGTGCCCTCAGAATAGAGGCCCAGACGCCCCGGCCCGACCCCGGCCCCGATGCCACCTCCACCGTCTCATTCCACAGCCAGGCTGCCTCCTCCCGCTCCGGAGCCCACTGCCCTCCTAGGACGGCCTGCCTCCCCCACCCCTTTTCTTTCTTTTTTAAAAAATATCTTTCTATTGATTTCAGAGAAGAAGGGAGAGGGAGAGAGAGAAACATCAGTGATGAGAGAGACTCAGTGATCAACTGCCTCCTGCACACCCCACACTGGGGATCGAGCCCACAACCCAGGCATGTGCCCTGACCGGGAATGGAACCGGGACCTCCTTGTCCATAGGTCCACGCTCCACCACTGAGCCATGCCGGCCGGGCCTCCTCCACCCCCTCTTCTAGATAATTCCTCATCTTCAGGACTCACCAGAGTCGTCCACTGTCTGTCCCCCATTTTCTGTTGAGCCCCTTTCACCTCACCCACTCCTCCTGAGCCGCTGCTCACCCTGGTGGCCGGGGCCGCAGCCAGTCCTGGCTCCCAACACCACCTGCTGCTGACAGTCCCACACGGCTCTCTCCACAAACGCCTGGTCACCATCCTGCCCGGACGCCCGAGAGCCTCCCAAACCCGCCATGTTCCAGCAGGACTCGGGTCTCTCCCCTCAACCTGTCCCTCCACAGCGGGCCCATCTCAGAGCCCAGGGCCCCAGCCTTCCTGGGTCCCCATGGGAGCCTCGGATCAAGTCAACTCCTCCCTGTCGCTCACCTCTGCCCGCCTCACCGCAGGCTCTGGTCCAGGCCGCACTGGGTCTCACCTCCCTGCTCTGCCCTTGACCCCACAGCCTGCTGTCCACACAGCAGCCGGAAGGACCGTGTAAAAATCCAAGTCATCACCCGAAAGAACTGAAGCGAAGACTCGAAGAGCTATGTGTACACCTGTGCTCACGGCAGCATCACTCACAACAGCCAAGGTGGGAGCAACCCAAGTGTCCACCGAGAGGTGACGGAGGAGCAGAATGTGGTCCATCTCCACAGCGAGTGTCCCTCAGCCTTACAGGAAGGGGATCCTGACACCGGCTACGACACGGTGCAGCCGGGGCACGATGCTGAGTGAGATGAGCCAGACACAGAGATAAATACTGTCTGACTCCACTCACGGGAGGGGCCTGGAGGAGCCAAATCCAGAGAGAGAGGAAGGAGACGGTGGGCGCCAGGGATTGGGGGGTGGGGGTGGGATGGGAGTGACTGCTTCATGGGGACAGAGTTTCCGTTTGGGAAGGGGAGGAAGTTCTGGAGATGGATGGAGGTGATGGCGGCACGACAGCGTGAATGCACTGCATGCCCCTCCGTGCGTCAATACGGGTAAAACCGCACACTCGATGACAGACCTAAAATGGTCAAAGGCCAAGTGTTCTATCAGGTGCGTTTTGACACAAGAAAGGATGTCGCATCATGATGCTTCGCTGCCTCACGGCATTCCCTCTCCGCGGGAAGACACGACTTCCTAAGGACCCGCAGAGCCTACGCCATCT